CTAAAAAAATATTTATTATTTATTACATAAGTTATATAACAACTAATAAATTTATTGTAATAACTAAAATAAAATTCAAAATTTATTGTCGAGAATCATGTTTAACTGAACTGTATATTTAAATTTATAAAATGCATATACATACACATCAATAGTATTAAAAGATTAACAAATATATTATTTTGGAATGTTTAACACACCGCAATTATATTGCACTGATTAATATAACAGGTGTATTGATTTGTAGTTTTTATATGCCTAAAATTTCCCTAAAAGTTTTACATAAAAAAATTATTTTATTTTTTATTTTAAATTTATCCTATGAAGTGTTTTTGTGCTATAAAAAAATAAAAAAGAGAATTACATTCTATAGAACCACATAGGATGAAAAAAAATTGTTCTTTTTGGTTTTATTACATAAAAAATTGCGTTTTTTAACAAAAAATGAAAAAAATACATTTTTTATTTTTTTTTAATGATAATTTTGAGAAATAAGTTTAAAAAGTTTTCAAAATGAATATTATTTTTCAAATTTTTATATAATTTTGTTTCATTTAAGTACCAGGTTAATATATTATTAAAAAACTTTTTTTTTGAAAATATTAGGGACCCATTAAATATTCAAGAGTCTTGGAGGACCCCTTAAAATATTTTTTATTAAAAAAAAAATTAAGCCTAGTGTTTTTGTATTAGATAGAACGCATATATATATATATATATATATATATATATATATATATATATATATATATATATATATATATATATATATATATATATATATATATATATATATATATATATATATATATATATATATATATATATATATATATATATATATATATATATATATATATATATATATATATATATATATATATATATATATATATATATATATATATATATATATATATATATATATATATATATATATATATATATATATATATATATATATATATATATATATATATATATATATATTTATATATATATATATATATATATATATATATTATATATATATATATATATATATATATATATATATATATATATATATATATATATATATATATATATATATATATATATATATATATATATATATATATATATATATATATATATATATATATATATATATATATATATATATATATATATATATATATATATATATATATATATATATATATATATATATATATATATATATATATATATGTCATGGATGTAGAGTACTCAAATTTTCAAGAGGTCAAAAAGTTAAAGGTTTGATTTTTTTGAGCAATGTATGTCTACTGTCCAGTGTTTATTATTTTTGATATAGAAATAAAAAAATAACAACTTTTGATTTTGGTTAACAACCATTGAGAAATTAAAGTAAAACAAGTAGAGATGGAATTTTACATGCAGTGAAGAACCCAGAGTTTATTTGGGGATACCATTTTTTTCCGGCAACATTAAGGAGGTACCCCTCCTTTCTGTGTTTTTCAATCCACCTTCTCCTCTTCCTCCCCCCCCAAAATTTATTAACTATCTTTTTGTAAATTTAATTCAAATGTTTAAATACCTTAAACCATTTTTAATCAATATTTACATTAAATAATATATTTACATATATTAAATCGCGTAATATTTGTAAAATAAACAAAATAGTTTTAGGTCTTGTATTAAAATTGAAAATATAAACATTTAATAAAGAAATTTGTTAAGCATTTAATAAGTTATTTGAAATAACAAAAATAATATAAGCATTTAATAAACTTATTTACTAAATATTTAAATTTAAAATTTTGATTTAAATATTAACAAACCTGTTATGCTATACTAGCAAACCTGTTCATTTAACTTTTACTAAAAGTTAATAATTTTTAAGTGTTTTAACGCGCCTTTTAAATTAAAGATAATTTAAGAAGAGATAATACGGTAAACAAAATTTTAAAAATAAAATGTTTTTTTGAATTAAAAGCATATTTTATTTTAAAAAATATATATTTAAAAAAAAAAATTTTTTATATAATTTAGTATAATTTTAAAAAATTTACTGTAAGTTATTTTAAACAGATTTTAATAAAACTTTTAAGTTATTGAAATCTTTATTTTTACTATTTTAAAAAAAATTGAAAGAAAAAAAAAATTTCATAAAAAAGTTCGTTTTTTCAGAAAAACACTTTGTTTTTTTGTTTTCCTTGCGTAAATTAAAATAGCAAGCTCAAAAGTTCAATCATTCAAAAATTGAACTCGCACGACGGGTATTAATTACAGAAACAGTGTTCACCCTTTCCTGGCTCATGGTCAATCAAAGAAAAGTTTTTAGTCTAACTACAAGTTGACACTGGCTGGACCAGAATTATTTTCATAAATTAGACAATATCCGAGGCAATGCTTCTGAATCCAATTTGTTCTTTAACGCAGATGAAATCTAGAGCTGATTGAAAATCTTCTAATTGAACTTTTTTTCGATTTGTAAATAAAAAGATCCCAGTGAAGCTGCAGTCTTTGATAATTAGGGAAATCATCCTTGTAGAAGTTTTTAATGTAGTCGATACTGTATTCAGTGTTATTTGATCCAATTACAAACCCTTTAACTCTTACTAAATGACTATTGGTTTTGGTTGGCTCATATCTATCGGTGAGGGCAACTAAAACTGCGTCTAAACTGGTAAAGTATAACTGCTTGTAAATCTCATTTGGGTTCTTTGGCTGGTAATAAACACTTCTGAAGCCGACTTCAAATCTTTCCTCTTCCAGGACAGAGCTGGTTTGTTTTAATCCATTGTTTTAGCAGATTCAGTTGCCACATAAAAAAGTGTTTTGAAACAGGGCTGAGTACGCAAAGACCTCAAAATTAGTTTCAGGGTCTGAATAATAGATTCAGCCTTACTAAAGTTGAGTTGGCTTCCCTATTGTTGAATGCTTGAATCTTCTAGGTTGGTAAAAATGATTTGAAGAAATTCCAATTTAAAAAAGATGTCAAAAACCTGAAAAGAAAACAAAAAGGTCATTGCTTCCACTTGACAACTGGTAAAGTCAGGGTCAGTGGTAAGGTCTTCCAGCCAAACTAGAAGTGATCTGTAATTAATGGTAATAGATACTAGAGATGGCTTGCGCATTATCCATCTGGTTGGGCAAAAAGGCCTAACGATGTTTTATTTTGGTACCCATCTTTGCTTTTATTTTGGTCTTTTAGGCATGAACCTTTGAACAAGTGACATGATATTTTCTATATCTGGTATGTTTTTTATTTCATCTTTATTACCAAATTTAAATTATGAGCTCTGCAATGAACATAAAGGGCTCTGCTTTCTTGTTGAAGAACAAGTTTTTGCAAGCCAGCTATTTCAGAAGACATGGCAGCAGCTTCATCGTAGTATTGTCCCCGACAGTTCTGAAGCTTTAAGTTGGAACAAAGAAGGACACTTTACATAATCAAAAATCTTCATTAATTTGGCATTCGTCATCCACAGTACGGAAGGATATAGATACCTATAAAATTTAAAAATTCATAAAAATTAATAAAGGAAAATACAAGGTTCAATGAATTGTTGGTTTGACTAATAATACTTGCTCTTTTCCTGTGTTATCAGACTATTCATCCGCCATGAATCTAAAGAAATCTCTTTTTTTTATTGTGTTTGATAATTCGCATTGCATAACTAACATAATATCCAACAAAATTTCATTTGTGATATCTGGAGATATGTACTTCTCTGGTCGATTCATCAATTTTTTCAAAACCATAGACCTCAGTTCTAAGAGTTGGAACAGATTTAAAAACTCTTTTACTTCGCCTCTGATGGCCCAGCCTTGACAGCCGAGAAAAATCAGACTAGAAAAAATATAGACAAGAGCTTTTCTTGCGTCCTTCATATCTTGTAGATGTTGAGTAGAAAGTTTACTGGAAACTGTAGAACCTGACTAGCTTGTCAAAATCATTTTTTAGCAGCTTGATGAAAATGGCTAGCTTCATGACGGTGAAACTTCTCATGAGATTTCTCCCAATTATTATATCCATTAATAATAAATTTTTGTTATTAATGGATATAATAATTGGAAGAAATCTCATGAGACCAGATTTTCTTTCTATTGATTCAGTAGGCAGAGGAAGCTTCATATCAGTAATTTGTCACATGAGGAACAAAAGGCTTTTTCTTTAACAGCATCATACTTAATCCACTTGTATTTGTCTTCCCAGCTGGACAGATATTGAAAAATGTTTTTTTGCAACTTTTTTTCATTTGTACCTTCTGTTGAATTAGATTTGGATGACAATGAATAGGAAATTCTGTCAAGAAAAATCTCTTATTTTAGGTTGTTATAAAAAATCTTTTATGAATTACACTAGGGAACAACGTTTTTGCTACCTCGTGTATTAAGAACATACCAATATACCAAATACCAAGTGTATTAAGAACATTTTGACCTGCTGATTCCAAATATGACATTAAAAATTGTGTATCACGTCAGGTTTTAAAGTTATTTTGACATCTTGATTTACCATTTTTTAAACTTAATGGTTATTACAAATATAATGTCAATGCTTCTAAATTTCAATACAATAACTAAAATTTTTGTGTAAATAGAAGAGCAAAAGCAACTATACAGTATCATATGTACAAATAACTTCAGCAGGCTTGGACAGGAATGCTGTGCGATCGAGCTCTATTGCTGGCCACGCAAATGATTTTATTTTTTGACAACTTGACCACGATTGTTTAATAAACAATGTTAATATGTTTTGATGAGTTAAAAGTTTCAGAAATGCTCTGAATGTAGAAACGCTAAGCTAAACTTAAACTAGGAAAAAACTAAAAAAAAAAAAAAACTAATGAAAAAAATTCCTAACGAAAAAAGAAACGAAAAACAAATTCATAACGAAAAAGAAATTATATGAGCACTAGAATGAAAATAAAAACATAAACTTGGACCAAATCTTTTTGTTACTTTTTTAATTACATATGAAATTACTACTAATAATTGGTTTAATA